CGTGGGAGGTTAGATCCCAAGTGCAGATTTCTGCTGGAGCCGCGGGGAGGGAGGGCGGGTGAGCAGCTGCCTGTTGCCCTCAGTTCAGCCCTGGGAGGCGGGCAGCGGCCTGGGTAGCCTGGAGACCTTGCAGCCCCCTGCACGAGCACGGCAGCTCGTCAGTCTGTTCTTGTTGGGGCTAGGGGTGCGCTCCAAATGTTGGTAGCTGCTTCAAGCACCATCTGGCTGGTTGGACCTGTGGTGGAAGCAGAAGTGTCAGCGGCATCCACAGGGAACGTGTAGGTTAAGACAGACATGCTGAATGGGAGCTTCCGTTACGGGCATCACGCAGTGCTTCCCTAGCTGCGCCTCCCCCTCTGAACTCGCAGGGGTTAGCTGCGTACTCTGAACTTACAAGAATAAAACCTGTAAGCAAGTGTGCAGCAGATGTATCAGTGAAAAAGTTGCCTGGGGGCAGAAAGAGCCTGTAGGCAGCCCAGTTGCTTGGCTTCAGTGCAGCATGAGAGCGATTAAATCATTAAAAAAGTTATTAAACGCTGAGCCGGATTGAGAAGACGAGGCTGCAGAAATCTAGAGCGATTCATTTTTCTTGCTTAAAGAATCTTGATCAAACCTTTCAAACCTTCAGAGGCTTGCAAATACAATCATTGCAGGCAGTCCCTCGCAGTCGAGGATGATTGTCTTCCATGATTGTCTTATCTGTGGGTCTGAAGATGGCTGATGAGGCCTCTCCAGGATCAACAGACTCTACTGCAGCTCGGACACATGTTTGTGTGAGGTGGGTGGCTCCAGGTTCTTGATTCGCAACACGCTGTTTCTGCCTTTCTCACTTTTCCATCTCCTGTTGTCATCATAAGGTTTTAAAGTACTGAGATCTTTGCAGCAAACTCTGCCTCAGTTTGGGGTAGTCCTTGGCTATAGTATCCCATGAGTTGATGTGCCATTTTTCAAGTTGGCCTTGGAGACATCCTTGAAACATTTTCTCTGCCCTCCTCTTGATTGTATGCCTTGACAGCTGGGAAAATAAAACTTTCTTTGGGAGTCTGGGGTTAGACATCTGGATGATGTGGCTGGCTGAGCAAAGCTGATGTTGGATGACATTGCCTCAACGCTTGTGGTGGTTGCTTGTGAGAAAATGCTAATGTTGGTGCCTGTTTTCCCAGTGGATTGATGGTACTTCTCCAGCAGCTTGAAACGTCTCCTGTACGTTGTCCACATCTCAGCTCCGTACAGTAAGATGGAGATCACGATGGCTTGATAAGCCTTGAGCTTAGTTTCGGATCTGATGTCACGATCTTCGAACACCTGTTTCCCTAGGCATCCAAAGGTTACACTTGCACACTTGAAATGATGTTGGATTTTTTTTGTCAGTCAGCCTTCTGCAAGAGATGGCTTCTAAGGTATGGGAAATACTTAATGTTCTCCAAAGTATTACCATAAATCTGAATTACTGGAGCTAGGGACTCATTAAGAGCATGTTGATGGCAGACTTTAATGAATGTTTAGTCCCATTTTTTTGTGAGCCTCAATAAAGACGTCAGGGGTTGTCTGAAGGTCTGCTTCCAAGTGAGTGCACACTACAGCATCATCAGCATACTGGAGCTCAGTGACTGAGGTTGGAATGGTCTTGGTTTTGACTGGGAGTCAGCTGAGATTAAACAGTTTAACATCCATTCTGTAGTTTTGCTCCACTCTGACTGGAAGTTTATTGGTGGTCAGATGTAGCCTTGCTTAACTCTCATCTTAACCTCGAAGGGATCTGTGGTAGATAGATTATTAAGAAATAATACTTATGTGCTAGGACAGCCACAAATGTACTGTCATATGTACCTTTCCAGTGTACCCCTTACCTCAAAAATCTTGTCCCAGACAGTAGGAGAAATAGAATATGAATGATTTCAGACTACATGCGTGTTTTGAATCAGTTCCATGTCTGCCTAACAGGAAATAGATTGTGCAGGTTTCAAGTTTGATTTAGAGGTGGAGGGTAGCTTAGGGGGAAGCTTAGGTGAGCGAAACATTAGCTTCATGTAACTTAAACGCACAGCAGTATTAAAATGGATGGTCTACTTTTAATTTTTAAATTGCTTAGTGTGACTTCTATGCCAGTGTGTCAAGCAACCCTAGATCTTATGAGCTCTCCTATGTGCATTTGCTAGTATTATGAACCAGCTGCTCAGTAATTAGTAGTTTTCTGTGTGCTTAGAAACGAATGGAATCCCAGGTTTTGGGATGTGTCAGATAGTTGGAGTCTTGCCCTGTTAAGGGTGAAGATAGTTTAAATGCCCTTTTCACTTCTTGAAAAACTAGAGGGCTAGCTTAAAAGTGGTTATACTTACAGATCTTTTCTTTCTAATTTATTTATTTTTTAAGTATATGCGAGCACATAATGCCTGGCCTCTAACTTTACTTTATTTACCTTTTCCTAAAACTCCTTCCTTGTGAGATGCCCATAGTGAAAGAGGTTGTAATAAAAATGGCTTGGATTGTGTCAAAGAAATGTAAATTAGCTTAGTCTCCACCTGCTTTGAAATTCAGCATTACTTGGGCTTTTTGTGTTGTACCTAAAATGTTAAGATCTTTGGAACAGGTCCTTTGGTTTTCTGCTAATACAGCAAAGTGCCCACCATTTCTTAGTAATATTAAAATGCTAACTTCATAATTTGTTTCTTACTATGAGGGCTGTTGTAAAAAGTATTGGTGCTTTTTCTCCTGCTACGGATCTATAACCAAGAAATAACAAATCACCGTCTGCCCTTATTGGAAATGCAGAGCAACTGGTAATGTATAATATATAATATCCTTTGGGATATAGTACTTCATTAGCATTCTGGGATCCCAGATTATCAAGATAGAGGTCTCCAGGTACCTTACCTATCCTAATGTACCCATCACTGGGCTTTTGCCTAGCCTTGAAGTGCCTAAGCGAACTTGCATGCATGTAGTGTGGTAGATGTTAATAACTCTCTCTCTCTCACTCTTTTTTCCCCCCCCTTCACCTAGAAGTGGATGTTAAGTAGCCACTAAACGTGTATAGGCTGCTCCTTGATAGAACTGATAGACACCTGTCAGGATGTTTCTGCGCTTGCTGTCAGATGGGCGGTGGTGGACAGCCAGCTCAAGGTGGAGAAATATGGCCAGCTCTCGGAACAGTGCCACAAGTGCAACAGAGCCTCACTTGATCTCCCTGCCAGCACAGGCACAAGTGGTAGTCTGTGGCGGTGGAATCATGGGCACATCAGTGGCATATCACCTTGCCAAGTTAGGCTGGAAGGACATAGTCTTACTGGAGCAAGGCAGGTAAGCACTGGATTTGTCTTCTATTAAAACAAAAATAAAATAAAATTTAGAACCACGTAGGACTTGCACATCTACAGTGCCTCTCTTGTGTTTTATTTCCACCATTTCAATTTTTACCATCTTCAGAGATCCTTCCTGAAGTCAGTAGGGTTTGGCCATTTCTTCACAAGTACAAGGAGAGTTCCAAGTTCTACAGTGTTGGCTTTGCTTTACTCAGCCAAGCTATGTAGTCTGCTCTTAAAAGAAAAAAAACGTAAATGACTTGCATAGGACATGAGAGGGAGCAACTTTAACATTTTCAAGCATGAGCTTTGTTTCTCATCCATACTAAAATTCTGTCTGCCAATCTACCCGGGCGTAAAAGCACAGGCAGTTACTGGCGTATAGTAGAAGTCACCTAAAAGTTCTCCGTGTGCCTTGTGCACAGGTAGACTGGGAAGTGCTGTGGCATGTGCATGTGCTCCTACCTTGATTAGGATTATCTGATAAGCCTAAAGTAGGTACAAATGTCCAGTCTTGCCTGAGGCCTTTCCTGTTTGTCGATTCTGCCCCCAGCTGTACTCCTCCTGGAAACAGGTACACGGGATAGTGCTGCAAACCTCTGTTCTCAGGAGATGCTGTGCAGGGTATGCTATTGCTAAACCATCCCAGACAGATGCCTATCCAGCTTCTCTTTGAAAGCCTCTAATAAAGAAGATTTCATACTTTTCTGAAGTAGTTTGTTCCGTTGTCCTACTGATACTAAGCATTAGGAAATTGTACCTGAGTTTTAATCTTAGCCTGCATATGTTGCAATTTAAACCCATTCCCTCATGTCTTGACATTTGTGGCAAGGAAAACCAAATGTTTTCTTTCTTTATGGCACCTATTCAAATGGTTCAAACCTATTCTCGTGTTTTCCCTTGATCTCCTTTTTCTCCAGACCTAAATATATCCAGTTTTTTCAGCGTTTCCTTATGTGGTTTGCATTCCAGTTCTTTTGCCATCTTTTTGCTTGCCTTTTACGAAGTCTGTACATCTTTCTTGACATGTGGTTTCCAAGAATTGCATGTGGTGTTCCAGCTGAGACCTAATCAGTGTTGAGTAGTATGGTATGGTCTCTCTCCGTGCCATACATAAAATACATCTGTTAAGACAGGCCAAAATTGCATTCTCTCTTTTTTTCCTCCAACAGCATCACATTGCGGACTTGTGTTGAGTTTGTGATTTGCCAAATCTTGGATCCATCATGTCAGTGCTATGCCTACCCGGTTGTCGCCCTCTCTGCATTTGTACGTTTGTTTTTTCTTCCCTAGGTGAATTTATGTAGTTAGCCTGTCCAAGAAGAAAAAATCAAGTCGATTTGGCCTGACTTTTGTTTTTCCAGAACAAAATCCACGTTGTTGGTTAGGAAATCATCCTACAACTTGATTGTTTTCTAATGTACTGTAGTACCTTCCTAGCTACTGAAGTCAGACTGACTGATCTATAATTTCTTGGCTTCTCATTTTTCTTTTTCTTTCTTTCTTTTTTTTTTTTAAGATCACCCTTTTCTAATCATTTGACATCTTCCCTGTCACCCATGACTTTGCGAACGTTATTGCCAGTAGGTATGAAATGTCTTTAGCCAATTCCTTGAGCTTCCATCATCAGCCCATGTTGATTTAAATTCATTCAAATTTGTCAAAAATGCTCCCTGACATACCCAGATCTGCTTTTCTCTCCTTTCTATATATAACTTTGCTGTTTTCTTTTGTTTATGTTGTATCATTTTGTTAGGTTTTTTTTCCTGTGAAAATAGAGGCAAGCTAATCATTGAGCAGCTTTGCTTATTTTGTTATCCCATCTTCACGATGGAGCAGTGAGCCCAGAGTTCCCCTGTTCTATCTTTTGTGACAGTTTTAGAACCCCCTATTCTTATCTTTTAACTTTTCTTGCCACCTTCCTCTGAGGTACTGGGATGCTGGCAGTAGCTAAGGCTTGGGATTTTTGGCTGGTACTTTTAAAAACTTCAGAGCGGATCCTGCATTATGGTTGTACCTCTCACCAAATTTGTGGTCATTAAAAATTTTTTCTCTTAATTCATATGGGCATGGAATGGGAATTTTTAAATTCCTCTGTAGTATGGTGTTTTAGGGATGGAGTATCGTTATAGTCATACTGGGCTGGGAAATTTGTGAGAAGCACGAGATTTTCTGGACCAGCATCTGTAACTCACCCTAACCAACCAATAACAGTTTATCATTGTCAGTGATAATGCAGTTCTACCCTGGTTCCACACAGGGTGAACTTGCTAGCTGGTAAGGCTAGAGTAGTTGCCAGCCCCAACCTCTTTCCTGCCCTCTCAGGGTGCTAGTCCTAGGAGTTGCCAAGAAAATACCTAACCCAGGTAGTAGGGGTTAGAATCATAGACCGTAGAAAATTAGGGTTGGAAGGGACCTTAAGAGATCATCTAGCTCAAAACAGGACCATCTCCAACTACATCATCCCAGCCAAGACTTTGTCTAACTGGATCTTAAACACCAAGGACAGATGGTATACAACCTCTCTGAGTAACCTGTTTGAGTGTTTTTACTACCCTTCTAGTAAGAAAGTTTTTCCTAATACCCAACCTAAACTTCCTTTGCTGCAACTTGAGACCATTATTTCTTGTTCTGTTAACTGCCATCAGTGAGAACAGTCTAGCTCCATCCTCTTTGGAACCTGCCTTCACGTAGTTAAAGGAGACTGGATTTAGCTCAGGAGGCCTCTTCCAGCCTTATTCCTTTTTTCTCATCTTGGAGTGATTCCCTCCCCCATCCCCTTGTTGCACACAAAAACAGCAAACTGGTTGTCAGTGAGAATTACAATGCCCTATGCAAGTTGGCTACAAACCTGAGATGTGAAATAAGCTGTTGGAGTAACCTACACAGAATCCATTTTTTTTGGTTTGTTTTGGGGTTTTTTTCTTTTCTTCCTTCTGTCAGCCAGATGAGGCCTTCTTTGTAACTTCTTCTGCAGGCTGGCTGCTGGTACCACTCGATTTTGTGCTGGCATTGTGAGCACTGCCAGGCATGTGTCCATAGAGCTTAAGATGGCTGACTATTCAAGCAAGTTGTATCAGCAATTAGAACAAGAGACAGGAATAAAAACAGGTAAGCAAAATAATCTGTGGAACAATTTTCTGGGAAATTGATTCAAAGTATTAATTGGAATTAATAATGCCATTATCCAATGCCTTAGTGAGACTTCATCTGGAATTCTGTGTACAGTTCTGGTCACCCATGTCAAAAAAGATATCCTCAGACTGGAACAGGTGCAATCTAGCAGTGTAGGAGTTCAGAGTAGGAAGTAATTAGAACTGACCAGGAAGTCAGCGTGTTCAGATATATTTTATATTATTTTGGCATGTATTTCTGTTTTTCTGGCAGAACCAGCAGTCTTACTATAAACTGCTGTTTATACTCCACCAGTGTATTAAAGTTGATAGTGGGTATATGAAAGCACCACGGCAGCAGCTGCACAACAGTTTCTGACCAGTTTTAATAATCACATAAAAAGCTGTATTAAAAGAAAATGAAAGTTTTTTTTAAAGTCAGTCTTTTTGAAAAGTTAAATGCTAGAATTAAGGTTACCTGTGACAGCTCAGTTCAAGCCCTCTTTACGTGTGTGTGTGTGTGTGTGTGTGTGTGTGTGTGTGTGTGAAAAATCTAAAAATCTGGTATTTGGGTTCCTCCACGCCACCAAGGATCTTTGTTTCAGCCAATGCACAGGATGGGTAGTGTTTTCTAATGAACAGCTATTGTTTTTTCCCCATTTGTTCAGTATGTGGCCTTGGTGTTCAAATTGCTCTGAAAACAGATGTATTAATTTTGTTGTTGACCTTTGTTATACTCATCACTATTATTTAAAAGCTTCACAAATATGAATGGATTTATCTTAACATGTTGAGGTGTGTGGGTTATCCTCAATTTATAGCTGAGAAATTGAGGCAAGGAGATGAAGACAAAAAGTGTCCATTAATTGTGGGTGCCCAGTTTGGATTGCCAGGGCCTGTTTTTCTTTTTAGAGCACCTACCATATGTTTGAAATACAGATCTTATTGACTTAAAGTGTAGCTGTCAGGGCCCAGCATTTCTGCATATTTTGTGTTTTATTTCAAGCTCAAGAAGAGAGGGTAACAGGCATTGTGTTTGTTCCTTGCTACTTTGGCTACCTTTATTTAGTCCCTCCCCCACCTCTTCCAGTATAGGAGCTACTCCCTAAGTTTTTTTCCCTCCCTCTTGCTCTCAATCAAATCTAATTGCCCAGCTGTTTAGAGTTTATTTGAACATTTCTCCCTTCTCCTCTATCTCTTTTCCCAGCCAGTCCAAGTCAGCCTCCTTCAGCTCTCCATCCCACTGATTCCTAGTCCTGGTGAGTCCCAGTGTCCACCATGGCACCTTAATCTGTTCTCAGTTTCCTGCTTACATTTTGCTTGCTCAGCTAGCCCGCTGGTTGGTTTTTTCCAGCCAGTTTCCCTTTTCTCTCTCTCTCTCAGCCTCCAATCCCAGTCTTCCCTACCCCAGGTCCAATTCCCTCAGGTCTTGCATTTGAATGAGACGACTCCACTGTAATTGCTGGGCCTAGCTTGTAGAGCACTGAGAGCAGAGAAAAGCCAAACTCCCTGCTTTCTCTTCTGGTGCCTGGCCCGTGTTGGCTCTCAGCTGCAGCTGTAGGGGATGTTCTGCTCAGCCCTGGACTGGAGGTCAGATTTTGGGGAATTTAGCTACAAAGCTCTAGTTGCTCTCTACTAAGCCTGTGCAAACAATTTTCAGATGCTTATAAATTGGTCAGATTTGGGTGGCTTTTGCAGGGACAGCAAAAGGTAAATCCTTGACATAATAAAAAATAAGCAAAGGTATGAGCAAGCAAAAATAGGGGTTTTTTAGTGTCAACCTTAGCGCATTGTGTTGCTAGTGACCTTTATGATTTGAGGTTACTTTTTAAGTGGTTGTATTCATTCAGTAGTTGCGCGATCCCAAAATATTTGGTTATTAAATGCAGTCTTTTCTTCTCATTATTAAGCAGTTATTGGATCAGATTGGACAGTACTCCTTAGTCCCTGCTGGAAGGCCCTTTCCCTACCCAATTCTGTTTTGACACTTCATGGTTGTGAAGTATAATCTGTGAGGGTGTTTATGAACATGGGTAAATTTAGTCTAAAGCCGGGTTTAAATAACACTAGAAGTATACATCAAACTGTGCCTCTTCAAAGTGTTTTATCAGAACAATTGCAGGTTAGTAGTTGATTTCTGTATTAATACCGGGAGTTGGGTTTTCCAGGCTCTTGAGTACTAGAAGCAGCAAGTCCACTAGGATCAGAAGGACTTAGAACCCAACAAACTCTGACTTAACTTTGGTGGTTGCCATAGGGTATATGAAGACCAGCTCTATTTCACTGGCTCAGACTCAGGACCGACTGATCTCCCTGAAACGCATTGCTTCAACACACAAGTATGTATAAGCAGGGGGGAATTATACTGGATCTGAATGTCCCTGTGCCAGCCTTTCCTGAGAGGCTAACAACCACCATCCTTTTTGTATTGTGTGGCAGGGTAATGGGGATACCTTGTGAAATCATCACCCCAAAGCAAGTGGCACAACTACACCCACTAATTAACATTCACGACCTTGTGGGGGCTTTATATATGCCAGAGGATGCAGTTGTATCATCTGCCGATGTGAGCCTTGCTCTGGCAAATGCTGCCTCTCGGAATGGTATGAATTTTTAAAATCTATAGCATGCCTACCCCCTCACGTCATGTCTGCCTTGGTACAAAGGAAAATGACCATCTGTGTGGTCATGGTGTTAGATTTTGTATTCAGATATACAGTATTTTAATGAATAAAGTGTCCTACTTCTCTTCTTTAAAACTATTGTTTCATAACCCTAAAGCCAGATTCAAACTTGTTTTAGTATTGTGTCCTTGGAATCCCACTGAGAGGAGAATTTATATAGAGCCCTACAAATATTTTTGTTGTACATAAGAGTCCTTGAAAGTCCAGATGAAGTCAGAACAGTTTGAACAGTTTTTTATCTGTAGAGCCAAAGGGGTATGTGATCACGGCAGCTGGAATACTTCATTGGACTGGTGGACTTCTGGGTAGTTTGGAGGTAAAGCTGGCTCTGTTGGAATTTTGTTTGGGAAGTTTAGGGTGGTATAAAAGAAGAACAAGGTTAGGATTTAATAATAAAGATTGGACCTGTTAGGACTGAAACTTGATGAGATTGGAAAGACCTTATTAGGCCTGTGTGAATAGAGAAGTATTTGATTCGGATTTGGCTGATTTGGAGGACAGTGATTCAGTATCTAGAGCCAGTTGCCTCCAAGACTGGAAGTGCTATTGTCATGACTTGATGGTTACCTGGTATGGTAGTTATGGCATGGTATCATTATTGAGATAAATAAATGACTAATGAAACTAAGTGCCACCAAGGTTTTTGCCTTAGAACTGTGTTGGCTGGAACTTCTGTTTTCCAATTTGATTTTTTCCCTCTATTCTATTGATTTTTGTTCCCCTTTATTTGTTCCTGTTGTTCATAATCCCATATCAAAGAAATACATATTCCCAGCTGCCTGCAAGGGAGTGTTTAAACCTTTCCACAAGGCATCAGTGCAATTCTGCTATTTTCCAAAGAAGTTAGAATGTAGAAATATGCCTCCCTTGATGGGAGGATACGCTTTAGAACGAGCTCTGGTGTTAGCAGCCTGTTATCAGTAACCTGTTAGCAGTAAGTCTTGTGTGTCTGCTCCTTTTTTGCAGGTGTCCAGATCCATGACAGGACAAGTGTCAGTCATGTCTTGGTCCAGAAGGGACATGTGACTGGAGTTGAGACTGACAGAGGGCAGATTCAATGCGAGTATTTTGTCAACTGCGCTGGCCAGGTTGGATTATTTCATTTTTCTTCTCTCTCTTTTTGTGGTCCCAGTATATTCCAGTTCTCTAATAGTGGAGAAAAGCATGTGGTGACCAGTAAATGAAGTAAGCACTATGTTTCCCTTTTCTCTCAAAATGGACAAACTCTTGCCAGTTCCCAGCTGTCTGGTCTCTAATGTGGAAAAATATTAGTTCATAGATTCATACCTGAAGGGATCATTCTGGTCACCCAGTCAGATCTTCTGCATAGCACAATTTTTAAGATTACCCCAAATTACTTGTTTACATCCCAGATAGCTGTGGCAGTTTCTCCCTACTTGTTCCCCCTACTCGCAAAATGAAGGTGGTTCTAATTAGCAGAGCTGAGTTTGTCATCCATGCATTTACTTTTAATAGTATTTTTCTTTTCTACAAAGCATGCCATGTTCTCCAACTTGTTCAGTTCTATACATTTTTATCTTTTAGAAGCTTACTCATTGAACTGATCTGTTATAGTGCCCTCTTAATATTAAAGTCCATCTATTCATTAACTCAAAACAGTTTGGATATGTAAGTGCTTGCCATTTTCTTGGCACTGCAATTTGTGTCAACCTGCTGAGAAGCACCCTACCTACCCTTTCACAATTCAGACTTGCCCAGAGTCATATAATGGGAGGAGCACCCTCTCTTGCAATGAAGGGTTTTGTTGTGCCTTAAAAGTATGATTAAGACCCTTTCTTTTGTTCTTGGAAACCATTGTCTTTCTAGCTACCATGGTGTCTCAGCTGTAAAGATGCGTTTTGACCGTTGCTTTTTCTCACTTTAATCAGTTATCTTCTTAATGTGGGTCCCCAACAGTAGAAGAATCTAAACTGTTGTCTGTTAGGCCTTGCTTCTGATGAAAGCACAATATTGCCCTAGCAATATAAATGCAAGATATTGTTTGTTCTGCATTGTGGTAGACCCTGTGATCCACCATAAACCAGAGCTCCATTGTACCTAATGCTATATAAATGTAGAACAAAATGATGATCCCTATCCCGAAGAGGTAATGGTCCAAGTAAATGGTACAGTTCTTCTATTAAAGGCACTGATCTGACATCAGTCTGCTCTTTCGTGAGGTAAACACACAAGTCTTTTAAAGAAAAAAAAACACCGTGTGGAACCCAAATTTCTCATGGCTTCTGGTCTGTGACTAAGCCTTTCTGTTTGCAGTGGGCCTATGAGCTGGGTCTTTCCAGTGAGGAACCAGTCAGTATCCCACTGCATGCCTGTGAACATTTTTACCTCCTGACGCATCCCTTGAAGAAACCTCTAGAGAGCAGCACACCAAGTGAGGACTTTCCCACTCTATTTTGTTTTTCTAGTGAACTTTCTCTGCCTTTGTAAAGACAAGACTCTCCTTATCAAGATGGAGCTGATTGGGTGCAATTAGTCTTCCACTCTGCCAAGACTGTGTTCTGGGCTTTCTTATGCATGCTGAATGTTCAGTTTGAGGGCTGGGGAAGGAAGCAACTGTTTGTTTAGTTAAAGGTGAACTCTTGGTCCCAAACTTGAGTTTTAGTTGGATAGGAGGGACTGCTTTGGAATTAGCTTGACTCTGGATTTGCAAATGTATTTCAGTTGTGGTGTGCAGATGGCACTTATGGTATGTGGAAAGGGTGGTGCAGCTTTGGCACTGTTTTTCTTGTAGGCCATTGTCTCTAAGTAGGCCATATTTTTCTTCTAGCTGAAGTTCAGACTTTTTATAATGGCATTTACGCATCAGTGAGCTGTAGGGGAACGAAAGCACTTGAGGTATTCACTCCTGTGTGCTCTGGGCTTTGGGTTTCCCTGAGAGAGTGTGCTTGTAGGGCTAGGAAGTAGAAAGTTTTGGTTGGTTACTCCCACTCTATTTTTTCAAGTGACTTCCCAATGAATGCCCTTCACTGACTGAGTAACTTTTATGTTTCCAGCTTCTTTGTGGATGACCTTCTGTTATGAGATATGTATGGTAGTGACTTCTTCTGCTTCTTCCCATCCCATCCTTTCTCTTTTTTCCTCTGCAGCCATTGTGGACTTAGATGGTAGGATCTACATTCGCAATTGGCAAGGTGGCATCCTCTCTGGGGGCTTTGAGAAGAACCCCAAGCCCATCTTTACTGAGGGCCGGAACCAGTTGGAGATTCAGAACCTGCATGAAGACTGGGATCACTTTGGTATGCTAGGGTCAAAGGGCTTGCAGACCTTACATGGGCAGGCTTCCACAACAACGCAGCAGAAGACTTGACAGAAAGATAAAGCTGCCAACCAAGGGAAGTGTGCTGTAGACAGTTGTCTGTCTTTACTAAAAGGTGGGAGAAGCTTGGGAACTCTGAATAGTGGGGTCAGCTGTTAGTTTGTGGGGCAGACAGCATGAAAAACTCTTACCCACTGATGCTACCTTCTGCTAGACATCCCATTTTGCCTGGAGATAGATAGTCTAATCTGTACCAGATATAGGAGAAATGTGCAAACCTCACTTTTAAACAGGGACTGCCAGGTGTACTTAATATGCAAATAGTTCTCCTATGGTCAGAGTTCAGCATTTGCTACTTGCCAGATTTCTCCCTTTCATTGCCTAGATAATGGTACATTATTATTATTTCATTCCTCCTCCTCCTCCTCCTCCTCCTCCTCC